TTTTGAGTCATGCTTTTTACTTCTATATGTTTTGAGTGCAGAAACAATTTTGATGGAAGTTTCCTAAATAAGTTGACATACATCACTCCCCTCAGAAAAGCACACTATGAAATAGGAAGAAAAGGTAGTTTCAATCCCTTGAAAACAATTATTTCTTAAAATGAAAATTTTGATCAAAACCTTTTTAGCATTCATGAATAATAAAGATATAAGTTAATGTTGGGTTAGTTTTAAGAATTTTTAAATGTTATTATCATCATAAACAATATTTGAGGAACACAGCAAGTAGCAGATATAGAAGCTTATCCCAAGACATGTCTGCTCCACTGGTGAAAATAAATGCCTTTTCTTCTTTCCACAGAAAGACTGCTCAGTGATTTTTCTTAGATTACTTTAGAAATACCGTACAAAAGTACTGTCAGTTTTGAGTTTTTTGAAATATCATGGGTTATACGAAAGTATCGTAGTATCTTATGATTAATTTAACCAAATTTTAAGTTAGTAATTACTTGGGAGTTGATACAATGAATATTCCAGGCTTTTATAATATCTGTAATGCCAAACTCAATAAATGTAGAGAAGTAGTAGATACATTTTTTATGTTAACAGGTTTTGCTTTGTAGTTCAGAGAACTGAAATTGTTTCTCTTGTGTTTCTTCTCGCCTTTTTATTATAAGGAAATTTAACAGAGAAGTGTTGTGGGGGTTGTTTTGGTTGGTTTGTTCTTTTTTTTTCTTTTTTTTTTTTGTGGGTTTGTTGATTTTTTGTATGGGAAACTTACTGGGGATGTAGTGAAAATGATAAACTGGGTTAGGCAGTTGGAAACTTTTAATGCAGCTAAGACTTGTCTCCTCTTACTACTTCCAGCTCTCCATCAGTAATTCTGAACTGGACTTTTAAAGTCCCTGTCTTGTGCTTGATATTCACTCTGTTAGCTGTAGCAGAAGATGATGTCTTTTTATGCTGCTTAATAGATTACTTTTTCTAACAATGAAAAAGAAATTAGCCTTATTGTTAAGATTCGTAAAAGATAGTGTGGATGACAGTAGGACTAATGTATTTTAGAAGATATTTTTAGTAGTTTAGGAGATAATTTGACAACATTACAAGTGTTTCTGTTTGGACTTGGTATCAAATTATGATTGTATTATGATTAGTACAATACATAGTTCCTTAAGTTGGTCATTTAAGATTAAATGAGAAGGGTTTGAACTGAACTTAAAAAAATTTCAAATTCTTTCAGTTTGAACTTTATCATCTCCTTGCATAATTTTTGTTGGCTTTTCTAATCCAACAGTGTTAGAACGAGGGTATGAACATTGGCAGTCAGAGGAGCAGTCTGTTCTATGTAATTTCTTATTTGTTCCAAGCTTGCATTGTCCTCTCTACAGGGAAGAAAAAAAAAGAGGCAAAGTTAAGGACATAGCATCTCCTTTCCTGTATCTTCTCCCATCCCCCTGCAATGTTCAAGTTGTCAGTCTTAGAAGACACATAAAATCCATTTAAGAAGTGTCTCGTTCATCAGTTTATCCTGCTGAGTGCTAGCAATATGCTTAAGGTATATATGTTCAGTTAGCATGAGTGGGTTTGATTATTAATTTTCTCATCTTTTTAAATCTTAATCTGTTCTATCTAAGCAGATAGTCCTGTATCTGAAACAAGTATTCTCATCTTACAGAAACATTTTATAGCTTCTCTACCAGGAACAGAACTCTAGCAAAAAATTAAACCATCTGTAATTGTTCACGCCTGCTTTCCTTTTCCCTGCTGTACCGAGTAATTAATTGTCACAGTAAAACCATCGACCAGTGGTACTCCAGAACAATTTAAAGTGTTGTGAAAGCTGTCTTTATATTTGCTTTTAAATGAGTCAAGCTTAGCTGAGTTAACACTCAAAAAATAACACTGTGTATTTGCATGTTGTGTGTTTGTATTCATGCTTTCTGGATTTTCTCTACCAAACCAGTTGCTAATTTTTTGTTTTCACATGCTTGGACACTGATTTGAAAGGCATGTGCAACAAGAGGATCTCCAGAAAACCCTTTTCTGTTAGTGAGAGGAAGGAAGGTAGAAATACAGTAATGCAGAAATAATAGGTTTTCTCTCACACCCGATTTTTTTTTTTTTTTTGTTTAACTTTTTTTTCTCTCCTTTCCCCCTGATAATGGATAGCTAGGTACCATATGTCACAGTAGTTTCCTTGGTGTAGATGTGTCTTTTTTTACATTCCTTATACTGCCTGTCAATTTTTTTTTCATGCTTCTGAGGAAAAACTATGACCTTGTCCTACACAGGGCTGATTCTTTACAAACTTTCCCAGTATTTCTTACATCCTTTGAAGCGTTCTGCACCTGAGCTGCCCTTAAGTTCTCTTGTATTTTGTGCCACTGAATTTTGCATGTGGTTTAGTAGAATTTCACTGCTCACCTTCTGTTAGCATTATTCTCTCCCCTTATGCCATTTTTCTTGCCTCTTGAATGGGACATGGACTCACAGGGACTTTAACTTCTAGCCTTACGTGACTAGACTAGAGTAAACCCAGGCAGTTTTATATTCAGGATTTACTTTGTTTGATTTCCCAACAGAATTTGCATCAAGTGTCTTGAAATACCTTGGCTTGTGAATGGTATTCCCTGTTGAGATAATAGAGCTTTAAACGTGTACTACATTATGAAATTTAATATGCCATTCATACTCTATTATATGATTGTCAATAAATTCAATATGGCACAGGGCTCCAAACGTTGCATTTTCATTTCTGAAAACTGAAAACTGTCTAAAAGAAAACAGTATCTATGTAAATAGAGGAACAGGAAGAAGGTCTTTGAAGTTTTATCTAAGAAATTGATCTATGTTTTTGCAGTCCTTAATTTCAATTATGGTGTGCTGGCTTCTCTAATTAGTTAACTAGGGGTTACACCTTAACAGATAATATTGAACTGTGTGATTCACCAAATCACATGTGCAAAGATAACTGCTTAGTTAGATTAGGATTTCCCTATTAAATAACTTGGTTTAAAATAATTTAAGCTTTTTTATTGTCGCACATGCCCCATAGGGAAGCAGAAACATAGATCTTGGGAGTGTATACAAAAACTTAAATAATATGCTTGTTGAAGAAAAAATAGGCAGCAAGACAGTTTAGAGCTGGGTGAATAAAGAATATTTAATATAGTTTTTGCTACATTAAATCAATTTTATTGAAATTATGCAAAATACCTGTGTTTCATATTTCCCTTCATTTTCCTTCTGAGGTGTACTAAATTGTTAAAATAGATGCTCTTGTAGATGTTTATCTTGACTTTATTTTCAAAATGAAAAAGAAGTCTGAATACTTCCTGCAGACTTGTAGTAGTCCCATCATTACACTATCTGAATTCTTCTTGGGGAAAACTAGTTGACTTTTTGTGTACATATGCATTTGTAATTCACACAATACCCTGAATCTCCTGTATTCTTAAATGTGCTTATTTTGGAATTATAGTATTCATTTCTTGTCATCATGGTGCAACATGGTCAAGTACAATAATAACAAAAAAATCTGCTTTTTTTTCAGTTGAATCCAATATTATGAATGTATTAACACTTTCTATAGTGAAATATTATAATTTGGCAGAAGTTGCATGGCATTTGCATGGTATATAGTATTCTGTTGCAAAACAGAATCTTCCTATAAATTTGAGAAACTAGGTGTCTGTGTAAATAGACTGTCTTCTTAAAGACCAGGACCTTAAAGGAAGGGAGCATAAGCTGCTTTTGTGGGAGAAAACATTTACTTGACATCATTGGATCTCTGAAATACCATGAGTCCTTAGTAAAATATTGTTTTTTTTCTGACAAGTGGCAAATCTAGAGGAGAAGGACCATATTCATGTTTCAGTCATCAGGAAAATCACAATTCAGTGTTGGGATTGGCCATATCAAAATCCAAATTATTTTTTTTTTTTAATAATATTCACAAAAATACAATTGCTACTGCCCACTCTTTGTGTGATGGTTGTTGGTGTTGTTTTTTTACATTGGCATTCTCCTGATGGTTGCCTTACTACTTGCTAAATGACTGTTTCTTATTTGAGAAGCAAGACAGTACTTTTCCAGCTTAATTTGTTATACAAAATTGCTGAGATTATTAACACACACATGAGAATGAATGAACTACAGATTTCACAGAAGCCAAGGAAAAGGTCAGTCTGGATCTTGAGTTTTATGCTTGGTTTATAGTTTCTGAATTGTGCTACTTCAGCATTCTTTTAAACCATGGGTTCATTTCTGTAGAGGGAAGGTTATTCCCTAGTAAGGAATGAAGTCTCAGCTCTCTGTAAGTATATTTTACTTCTGCATGAAATTTTCCCAGAGAACATGAGTGTTTAGCGTATAATTGGTAGTATGCTCATGAAATAGAGTGGCAAAGAAAACCAGAATCACAAAAACTACAGCTGTGTTAAATTATACTTAATGCCCTATACAAGCAGAAAGAATGAACTCTGTTTATTTTCCAAACAATAAAATTTCTAGTTTAGTTTTCAATGTCATTTTTTTTAGAAAGTATATTAAGTTTCATATTGTCAATAAAATTGTTTTGCAATTCTAATGCTGCAAAGCCAATTTGCAAAGTTGAAAAACTGTGCTGAGTACATAGAAATCAGCTTTATAGTGGTATTAAATTATTTTTTCCTTTGGTCACTGGCTTGTAGAATATGCTGGAAACAATGGTAACAGAAAGTGGTTGCCACAGCGTTGTGTTAAAATGAGCAAGCTATGTTGGTCTTGATTAATGCAGTAATGAGAGAAAAGAGAGTGAAGAAGGAAGAAGATAAGATTCATGACCTATACAACTGCAAATATAAGAGAAGTATCTATGGATAAGTGATCCTGGAATGTCTCTACCATTGCATCATGCATGTGAAAGCATTGAGCCATGAAGCTTTAAAGAGTGAAGGAGGTATATTAGTTCAATGGTTTGTCTTTAAATGACTACCTTCCATGTCTGTGTGTTGCAGGTTTATATTAGGATAAAGGATGATGAATGGAACGTTTATCGAAGATACGCAGAGTTCAGGAGCTTGCATCATAAATTGCAGAATAAATACCAGCAAGTGAGGACTTTTAACTTTCCACCAAAGAAGGCCATTGGAAACAAGGTACTTAACTCATGGTATCAGTAAGGGTTAGGGAAGAAACCTTTCGCATCCACACATGAACAAAAAGAGGTGACTATAGTAAGTATTTTTTACCCCTGATAAACAGTATCTGCTATTTATTATACAGACTTTGCCATCATCAGCTGCAGATTTACTGGTAATGCAGTTACTGCATTCATTTTTCCACTCACTGAAATAAAGCTTTTTATTAAGTGAAATACTGATGACATACATAGTAGAAAAATGCACAACCCCCCCAAAAAAGTACTGGATGAGGTATATGTAAAATGTAATCTCTACTCCATTCTTTTCAATAAATGCCACCAATGAACACTGGTCACTAATAAAATATTTCTGTAAATTTAAAAAAGTACCAGTCTAAATTCCTTAGACTTTCTGTACTGTTAACAAACTTGTTTCAAATTCTTTGAACCAGCTTTTTAAAGGCATTTGGGTGCTTAATTCCCATAATATGTGTCTTTGTGTCTTAGCTCTCCTGTTTTAAAATGGGAATTTCTGCTTCTTCCTATCATATAGGGATTTTGCAACACATACAGTAAAGATAGTAGTATGTGTGTAGTAAATATGTAGTCTTACGTAGTTTAGGCCTTAATCACCCAAGCTTCAAAATGTTCAAAAGCTTAAATACATGTTGCAGTATACATCACAAATCCAGTAAGGCTTGAGAGTTGATCAAAATAATTTTTCTTTACAGTGTAGGAGTGATCTGAAAAATTTAACTATCACAAATAAAATATTTGAGATTTAAATCATGCATATGACTAAAAATGTGACTTATGACTAAACTGCTGGGTGCTTAAATCAGCATTCCTGATATTGATCAAATTTTTAAACTCTCTTATATGGGAGTTTCTCTTTTTATTTCTTATTTTTTAAACTGAGTCCTTGTATCAAATATCTAAGTAACACCAACCAAAGTGATCAATGTAGTCATCATAAGAAAGCTGACATAATGACTAAAATACTCAAGGATCTTCATGACATTGTATTTGGCCTGAGACTGCATTAGTACATTTATCACTAAAATGCCAGAATCATGCTAATTATATCTGTTGCAATTTTGTATATGATAGAAAAAAAAATCATCATTACTAATTCATATGAAGGAATGCAAAAATTTCAAAAACATGTAGAAAAAAATATTATACATTCCTTAGTGCCATTCAGATGTCAGTGAAAATGGATTGTGGATGTTTAAAAGATAGTAACTCTGATCTGACTTCTGAAGTGATTTCTGAAGTGTTCCTTAAAGATGAGTAGGTAAGCTTGGCACATGTGATATGAAATGATGAGTAGTAATGCACATTATCCTGAAACAAGTGGTGGTAGTAGTGATAGAAATATATGTGGGATTTATCAGTAACATCTCTGGGTCTTTTTGCCTGGCATAAAGCCCAGATTTAATATAGTTGTTCATTGCTTACTAACCTAGTAAGTGAAAGTACTTATGAAAGCTTTTGTGCTTCTTTTCATATATTAGAAGATCATGCGTCTTTAATTTAATTTTTAGTGGAGACTTTTGTAATAGGAACAATATATTTCTTCTTTGTTACATAACTAATTCTCCTTTTTTGAAGTGATGGAAAATCAGCCACCTCAGTGAATTACAAAAGCCTTCTTTTAAGCTTTTTTTTTATCGCCTTTCATCCTTAATTACTTTAAATACTAATTGAATTACAACTTCAGTTGCACAATTGATGCATACAATATTAACAGTTGAGCAACTAATTTAAAAATTTGCATCTCTTGTGCTTTCAGTGCTTTAGTTTTGGGCTAAAATTCTACCTTAATTGTGCATAAACTCATGGTCGCTTTTTGTCAGAGATTTTCTGAGATTTTCTCAGAAAAAATCTCTTTTATTTACAGTAAGAAATGGGTGCCATCCATTGCACTCTTAAAAGACTCCTATGATGATAAGCCAGCTGTATAGTAAGAATTGAAAAGTCATTATACTTCTGGCTTCCTGTTGTAAATAGCTTACAAGTGACCAAGTGGCACTTTCACATCAGCTTTGCAGGAGTTGATTATCACACAGCCTATTTCCACAGCACATTGTGTAGGTAAATGTTTGTCCTCTTAGTGGTGTCTGTACCATGTCATAGTATGTATTACATTTAGGAATATTGCATGGGCTTGTGCAGTATGGTGGATTATGCTTCAAGAACAGCTACCCTGTAGATCCAGCAAAACTAGTAGCACCTTGGAACACATTGGCCTGTGTGATTGACTGAAACATGTTGGTGGCCTTGAGATGACTTTCCTTTCCATGATAGAACAAGTTGAAGTCAATGGAAGGTTTAAAAATTAAATGTAAACTTAATTCATGTGAGAATGTCTTGGGATTATCTGTGGGTCTCTCTTGGAAATGGCATCTGTCTTCCCATGTCTCAATTAATCAATATAATCTTAAATCAGTGCCTAAACAGTTGTTTCAGTAGCTAACTTCTGCTAACAATAGTATCTCTATTCAGTTTACATCAGTCTGTGGTTTCCAAATCCTTTGCAAATCCTCGGTGTTACTAGATGCCCAAATAATGTATTGGTAGAACACAGTCCTTCACATGTAAAAGCCTAAAAATTACTATTTTACAGCTTTTGGAAAATGTTGATATGTTATATCCTTCAGGTCTGTACCTGGATGATGTTATTCATTGCATATCTTCAATACATTGTTTGGTACTGTGAGGCTAATGAAAGTGATATGCTGATTCTAAATGTTAGTGGCATTGAAAGAGGGTTTTGCTGTAACTGATCCCTCCCTTGATACCAGCACTATGTTTGGTGTTCAGTCTTATCTTTTGAGGTTCCCTCAAAGAGGACACCATGTTCTACAGAATGACCTAGACCCACTACTGCAGTCACTTAAATGCTAACCACCATTTTGCTGTGCAAAATATTGAGCTCTGAGGAAGGAACTTCACTAGAAGAGAGTAATGTTGAAAAACCTGTGGAGAACTGTTAATTTTCACACGTAATTTTCCTGCTTATGGGAATAGAAATCAGGGAGATTAGGTTCAAATGCAAAGTTGCAAAGTTTGACACAGGGAAAATGCAAAAAGAAAGCAAAATTTCAGCTGAATGAGGATTTTTAAAAAAGATAAAATCAAGTATTAATTATTACATAGATATAGTAATCAAGTAACAGTGAAACATTGAAATAACAATTAAAAAATATATTAAGAATATTTCTATTAATTCTAATGATTATGTGTTCAATATGGTTTTGCCTTTCACATATTTGCCATATGTTGGGACAATTCATCTTAATAGTTCATGTTCATGATCTTTCAGCAAATTATGCATGTAGGATTAGAAACTAGCTTTAATGTTTGAGGAAACAATTTTAATATACAGAAAACCAATTAGCAGAAAATGAGCAGAGAAGAGGAAAGGATACTCCTTTGGACAAGTGCCTTTTTTCAACTACAAAGAAGAGTGTATATTTGTATTTCAGGTTGATAACCTTATTTGCAGTGTATCAGTTTAAATATTTGAATGTAGTAGGTTAGAACTAATCTAAAGCAGTGAAAAGAATAATTTGATTTATAAACATTGCTTTAAATCTGGACAGAACAGATAATTACTGAAGGAAAATATAACAAGACTCCATGTATTAAGTTTCATGTATACTACTTGCCATGCTGGGTATTTTCCACTAACCATCTTTCAATGCAAACCGTTGCCAAAATCTTTATAAGCAGCTCCTGCAATAACAAGTGATGTTCTTCAGTGCATCGATGTTTTGTTTGAGTGAAAACAAGAACCATATTTGTTCTTTTCCGTTACGTTTATAAGAGAAATGTCATAGATTTTTGTACCACTTTTTTGAACTTGAGATCTTTTTTTTTTTTTTTTTTAAACATACAAATTTGAACTGTATTTTAACACTTGAACTGTTTGGTTTGAGATTTTAAAACATACTCCTCATGCATCACCCTGATTTGTGGTGTGCTGAGTATTTTATATGTAGGTATATATACCAAGACCAATTTCAGACTGTGGCTTTCTTGCATGAAATAGATTTTTGCCTTTTAGCTAGCCTCTGAGTACTTTGGATCATTTGAAGTCATACTTCTATTATCACAAAATAAGTCTTTGTGACTACTGCCTTCATGTCAGGTTCCTAATGCCCAAAGGACTGGTTTGGTTCTGTGAGCCAGCACACTCTTAAGTTTCTTGAAGAGAAATTTCCTATGATCATAATACTTGATTGCAAAGGGATCCTTTTATGCTTTTGCATAGAAATAATAGCTTGATTTTTTTCATTGAAGATGAGCCTTTACATTTAGCTTCTCAACCTTTTATGGTGATGTGTTGGTGTCTCACTTCTTGAAATGTTTTAATGGTTAAGTAATAATAGACAATTATTTACAGGACTTATTCTGATTCTTTGGATATTGCAATGTCCTTAAAATCTCAGTTTCTATTTCTGCATTGGGCAGATTATAACACTCAAAGACTGGATTTTAGAAATACAGCAAACATCTAATTATGTGTCCTCTTGCAAGGGTATGGTCCCAATAGAGAACATATCAAAATAGAAATGGTTCTTAGCTTCCACTGAAGATGTGAATTCGGTGATTGTCTTAGTGTGTAGAAATTGAATAAGGTAACTTTCCACGGAGTGCTGACTTGACTGCATGATATCCTTTGCTTTCCTTTAAAACATCGGATACCCCATATGGAAAGAATACACAGCACTTTCCTGAGCTTAGAAGAGAGTGACTTTGCCATGACTCCTTAACTGCGCAGAAGAAACAATACAGAAAGCTAAAATAAGGATTCTGTCTTGAAGAAAATGTTGAGAGTAACATCCTTGGTGATTTTTAGCCCATGGAGGTGAGGTCTGTGAGCTGTTTCTGTAGTCATAGCTTGTTTCATGCCCAAATACTGGTTTGATAAGGTGAATGCATCCCTCTCACCTCTCAGTGACTAAGCTAAGTTGTGGATTATTTTGCGTATGTAACAATTTTAAAAGT